ATCGATGAGAGAGAAACATCGATCAGCTGCCTCCTGCACACCCCCCACTGGGGATGTGCCCGCAGCTTAGGTACATGCCCTTGACCGGAATCGAACCTGGAACCCTTGAGTCCGCAGGCCGACCCTCTATCCACTGAGCCAAACTGGTTAGGGCTAAAAATATATTTTAATAAACACATTTCATTAACTACCAAGAATTAAAAATAAGAATATCCTGACAAAACTTAGAGTCTAAAATATTAATCATTTTGTAGCTAAGCATGTTACAGGCAGGGGCAGTTTCAGTTCTCCGTTTGGCCAGCCTCAGCCACAGGAGTGTAGCAGATGCCGGCCCAGACAAGGCCTGCAACATCCTGTCCCCAGGCATCAGCAAGGAAACCCACAGAGAGAAGAAAGCGCCAGACACCGACACACAGGAAAGAGAATATCAAAACCACCGGAGAGCTGAAAGGGGAAACTGCTCGTCACCACTATTCCTTCGTTCCCCTCTCCCCACGATCCCCTTATAAACGCCCTTGGCCTGTCCTGAGATGTTGAGATGGGTGCTGAGGCCGGAGCCTGCCAACCTCTCAGGCTTTCGGCACACGAATAAACCACTTCCCTTCCGTCTGCATCTGTGTGGTGTGTTTGGCGTCGTGGCAGCAGGCAAAAGAACTGGAGGCTTGCTTAGGCTGGTTTCAGTTCTACTCCCTACCCTCACACATGCATAGCCCCTCCCCTTACCAACACCACGCATCAAAATGCTATATTTGGGTTTTTTTAAAAAAAATATGTATTTTATTGAATTTTTACAGAGAGGAAGGAGAGGGATAGAGTTAGAAACATCAATGAGAGAAACATCGATCAGCTGCCTCCTGCACACACCCCCACTGGTGATGTGCCTGCAACCAAGGTACATGCCCTTGACCAGAATCGAACCCGGGACTCTTCAGTCCGCAGGCCATGCTCTATCCACTGCGCCAAACCAGCTCGGGCGACACCAGCTAGATTTTTATTCATTTCCCTGCGGTAAAGGACATGTAAATGGTTATGCAGATGCAAAGGAATGCTTTATCAGCCACCTTTACAGAGAGGAACCTGACGGGGCCTTCCCTTCTCCCAGTTCCTATGTGACCTGCCCATTTGCACCAGTTTCTGCTTCCTGCAGAGCGCTCGGGAAGCTCTGCTGGGCCAACGCAGACCAAGCTCAGCTGCCCCTGACCTTGCCAAGCATGAAGAGCGAACTTCCTGTTAGATGGTGTCAACCCAGGCACCAGGGAGGCCCAAGCGCAGCTCCCAAGGTCCCCGTGTCATGTACAAAAGGAAAGC